ATCTCAGGTATTCACATGTTTAAATCTCTTCAAATGTGCTGTACATTCACGCACTGATCCTTAGCACTAAACCCTGATAGGGAATAAATGCAAGAATACAGTGCTAGAAAAATAAAGATTCCAATCTTGATGCCAGACTGGAGGCATCACAACAAAAAACTATCCAGAAAGACAGAAAACAACAGCAAGTCAAGGCAATACTTATAAACATTAGATATAGTGAAAAAAAAAACAAAGTCAAAAGTAGTGAACATTCTTGAACATTTATTATTTTTATGAAATGATTTGACATAATCTAAACGACTATCCCTGATAACAGCAGACCAGTGAGACAAAGGTCCCAGGGAGAAACCAATGAGGCCGTCCACCAAGTTTCTTGAGTTCAAAGTAAAGCTGCAGTCTGTTCATGAAACCTCCTTGAGGCTGCTAAGTTAGGAAAAAGGTCATTGGTGAGGCGGGGCAGATAAACACAATAGCTTTTAGAGTTTACTTAAAATAAACTAGCCACTGTTCACTGCAATGGCAGGAAGTCAATGAAAAGATGTATTTTTAAAAGGTGTATGAGTATGATTTGGTTATTTGCCATTATATCTATGTGTTTAGTGAAGAGACCCACTGTTATGATTTTACATCGCTACCTGCGTGACACAAGCCTTACAGGAACAATGCTGACGAAATTCCTAATAATCCCTTTTTCCAGTTATACATTATTAGCTGGAAGAAGAATAGGTGTCTAAATCTACAGACTTCCATCAGAGTAACTGTGGGTGCACATTTTCCACTTCATAATGTGAGCACTTGCACATTCAGTGGAGAGAGGAGAAAAAAAAGAAAAGAAGTCACAGACAGCATATCAGGAACACGTCTCAAGCGCAGCTCCTACAGTGGCCATGTGTTGATACAAGTCTTAATGTAAAACTCAATGTTTAAAATACAAGTTTTTTTTTTCATCTTGGAAAAAAGCCCATAAAAATATCTGAAATGTAACAAAATCTGGCACTGTGCCCTGAATCAAGGGTACAAGCCGGTCATGAAAAACCCCAAGTCAGTCACAGGTTTCAGCTTTAGAACAATTTAGTTTTTATCTACAATAACTCCTTTATACACCCAGGTATAATCAAGTCTGAAACGGAAACATAACATAAAAACATGACTGTAAAATCTTAAAAACAAAATATAAAACGATTAAGTGAAAAAGAAAAAAACAAACAAAAATAAACACTTTTCCTTAAAAGACTGCCACCAAGGAAGACTCTCCTTTGCTCCGTTTCTAATGCAAGCGAGGCTTCGGTCAAGCTATTCCAACACAGGGCAGCAGACTCAGAATGACCTGTAACAGCGAAGCCAACTTAACATGCCAGGCTGAGGCAGTGACCGAGGAAGCCAAATGGAGTACTTTTGACATCAGGGACAGAATTTTCCAGTCCAGGGGCTCCGACAGAAAAGGACCGCTGCTGATCGCCTAATCAGTAAGAGGT